TACAACTTTTTGCCGTATTTCCAGTTGCACACGCTGCGTATACGCGATGTTCGACTGACACCCAAACAATCTTCAATCAGCGTGTCGTACATAAAATGTTGTTGCGTGACTCATAATTTGTTGTCGACTTGTTTACATGTAACCTCTTACTCTTTCTCTCTCCCTCCCCCTCTCTTTCCCACTCGCCCATCTGGCGTACTAATAATGATGATGCGCGCCTTTATGAATATTGTAGCTCGACTTGTTATATGGTCGGAGCTGAAGTTGTGGCTGCATCCTCGCCCATAAAAAGCTAAGCGTTCCGTTTCGCTCGGCGACATTAAATTGGTGAGTTTTCTTTTTTATACGACTGAATCGTGTTATTACCGCCCTGTAATCGCTTCCCTTTTATGCACTCGACTTCCGTTGATAGCGGGATCTGCATTAGGTTCGGTCCACGTGAATTTACAGCCAAACTTGTTGACAGTATTTCACTTTTTTATTGCTTTATTGACTGATTAGCAGAGGAGCATAAGCTCAATAATTTTCTCGTGGTATCATATATGAAGCAAGACAGTTAAGACTCTCAAAATGTGATCCATACGCAATTTTTCCAATTTGTTGACTGGATAAACTGTTTTATAGCACATATAATATGTAAACTACCTCCAAACTTAATCGATCAATAAAGAAATATCAGCCACAACATCGGTTGAGCTACTTGAGCTTGTTTGCTAAGTAAACATCAAGAGTTTACTTGAGCAATGATCTCGCTCGAAGGTATTGAAATTCGTAGCTCAACACAACTGGCGTTTGCTCAAGAACAGCTGTTGCCTTCATGAGACTCAACCCGTTGCAATTGTTAAATATTTGACATGTTGTGAAATGCTAGGTCTAACCCTTTGTAGCATACAACGACAGCATAGGGCCCGCAGTAAGATCTTTGGTATAAAAAGCCCCGCTGGGTTAACGAAAAGCACAGTTACTTACAACTTCTGTAATTAGCCATGCAGATCGTAACAGTTCTTAGCTTGCTTATCGGCAGTTTCTTTGCCTACACATACGCGGCTCCCCAGTCGACCAATCAGATTATCACCGCACTAGGCGCTTTGGCCGCACAATTGGCGCAGCAGAGGAACTCGACTGTGCGATATGATAACGGCACTGTGATCATTACGGGCATTGCCAGCTCTAACGCCACCTCCAACATCGGCAGTCTGCACAGGCCACATGGATCTTATGGTAACCATGGTAACCATGTTCCCCATGGACATCATGGTCACCAGAGACCTCATGTTCCTTATGGACCTTATGGACCAGGCGGCTGGTACAATCCCTGGAACAGGTGGAACGGACTGTGGCGCGGAAATCCTGAGGAGGAGCAGGATATCGAGATTCCCGAGGATGCAGAAGATTCTGAGAACTATGAGCTGATGGAGGAGGTGCTCCCAGAGGACCTCGACATTCCCGAGGATGCCGAAGATGCCGACGATAGCAAAGATTCCGATGATCTCGAGGATCTGTTGAAAGAGGAGATAGAGAATGAAAACGGAGAGTCCAATAATTAACCAAATGGAAGCAGTTGACAACCTAAAATCTTCACTCTCCAACTTTTATATTATCAAAATTTTATAATTCAATAAAAATTATTAAATTGTTCAAATCAACCAGCAAAATAAATATTGAATAAATATTGAACTTACATTTTATTTATCTATCTATTAAATTTAAAATGATAGGATTTTATTTAGTTCTATAGGGCTTCTGTTCATATGACTACAGAAAAATAGAACTCGCAGATGAATGCTTGACCTAGGCTATAGGCTGGGCCTTTAGCATTTGAAAGGTTTACTTATATACTATGCATTTTACATAGGAATTGTAATTTGAATTGCCTCAAAAGAGAAGCATATATCATTCAGCATAATGCCAACTCTTATATATAATCAATTAATATGGAAATATCCACAATATCGGCTGAGCCGTTTGAGTTTGTTTGCTAAGTAAACAGTTATCTAGCTTCTGTAAAGTTTTCTCTTTCGGCTTAACCCGATTAACGGCGCGGCTGCTGGCGTTTGCTTAAGAGCAGATGTTGGCTTCAAGAAACTTGGCCCGTTTCGATTGCTAAATATTGGACAAGCTCTAAAATACTTCATATAACATTTGGAAGAATCGAATAATTAGTTGAGACTTATTTTTGTACCTGAAAGAGAAATGAGTATAATCGTTTTGTACAATGTCCGTTTTAGTGTCCGCCCGTCTGTTTATCTGTCTGTGTGAATGATATTTTTTTCGAAGCTACTGTCTCGAGCATACTTTTAAACTAAAAAGTGTTAAAATTTTCCCGGTCCGCCCACTTGGAGCATGTCAAATCGAATCTGAATATTTAATGAATTTCAGTAAGTAAATCATTGGAGTAAGTTTCCTTCATGTTGAAATAATAAAATAAAGCTCTATGGATAACGAATGCAATCATTAGCAATTGATTAAGAACAGCTGTTGCCTTCATTAAACTCGATGTGGCAAAGTCTATTTCAATTGTCAAATATTTGAAAAATTCTGAAATACGTTTAACCTTAAAGCTGCAAAGCTAACAAGGGTAACAAGGTCATTTGTAATAGTTTTGGTATAAAAAGCAATCATAAGAGTGAGCTAGAGCACAGTTACATAGTTCGCCATGCAGATCGTAACAGTTCTTTGCTTGATTATCGGCAGCTTCTTTGCCTTCACGGTGGCAGCGCCCCAGAACTACGGTGAGATCCTGGTCAACGCATTGGCCACCTTGGCCATGGAGTTGAATAAGAACAAAAATACGACAACTGATGTTAAATATGATGGTCATTCGGTGATTATTACCGGCGTTGCGAGCTCGCATTCCTCTTCTAATATAGACTATGATGGAGCACACAATTACACTTCACACAACAGCACCGGATGGCATAATCATTACTGGCATTGAAGATGGATAAGGAGCATAAGCTGCAGGAGTAGGCGAGCAAATAATGAAGAAAACTAAAACTCAGGGCATACAAACTTTTCAATCGCCGACTCCAACTGTACACAATCCAATCCAATCCAATCAAATTTATTTAATTGTACAACTCGCACCTGATAAAAGAAATCTAAATAACGGCTGTTCAAATATTGAAATCACAACGAAATAAAAGAAACGCACATTTACCAATCAAATTGAAAACTTTGAGGCTTGCTTTGAACTGGATCAATATGCAATATAGATATGCATTTTCTAACCGTCCATATGATTCGCATTTTTTGTCAATAAATTCATAAATCCCCTTGTTTTTGGAATGCTACTCTTTTGCCTTTCGTTTGATTCTGTTTGCAAATGCTTTTATGGCATTTGCTTAAATGCAAATATCGAATTGAATTGCCAGTTTTCAGTGCTGTATTTTTATAAACCAACTTAGATATTCAATATTTTATGTCCGAAAGGGCTAAAAGCTCAGCTAACCATGAACGAGTGTGTATGAGAGAGAGTATGTGTGTGCTGCTGTCTAAACTGTTGCACAACTCGCTGAATTCCCGCGGGTGGCATAAAATATATTTTACATAAATGGTTGCAATCGCACATTAATATGCAGAGCAAAAGTTTCATAAACCCAAGCATGTTCGTCGCTGGTTCGTTTGGCACATGGAATATGAACATTTCATTTCGATTCGCTAATTGGACGCTGCGCAGCTCTGGCTAAACTTTGCATCAAAGTTTAACAAGCTGTCTAACTGACAGAATGCAGAATGCATTGCACATTGCTTAAGCAATAACATGTCAAATTTATGTAATTATTGCGATTTGCAATATAGGAGGGAATTCAAATCAAAATACTGCACGAGGATTTGTTACACTTGTGGAAGATTTATTCCTGCTCAGATTCAGCAACTTTCTCCCATTTCAAGCATGTTTACATTCATATTAAGCATACGCCCAGTGCGACTTTGGCTCGTCGCCCAGGAACTCAGGCAGCGCTTGAAACTTGGCTTCGTTTCAAAATCTGAGCGAAAATAAATGTTTAGCTAAATTGTTTTCTAACTGCGATTTATGAAGAATGCCGCTGCAATCGGACTATGCAAATTGGCCACTGATCTGGAAGCGAGCCAAGTGCTGCCAAATTGTTTGATGCGCTACAGTGGATAACGCATATACCTGGCGCAAAACTGATGGCCCATTCGCCGATAAGGCCAAGACTCTGCCCTGCTTCGAGTGCCAGCCCCAGGGGAGTTAACAAATCACTCGAAGCGCAGAGCGTGTCTATCGTTTGAATTGCGACAAATGGAACGCATTAGGTTAACATTATTGCCAAACAATTTGTTCCAAATGTGTTTATTTGTCTCCTCCTTGTTGTTGTCACACAACATTTCTACATTATTTTGTAGCTCCTCTCACTCTCTTCTCTTCCCCCTGTCTTCCCCTAGATGTTCTTGGCCGCCCCAAATATAATTCCTTAGCCAATTGTAGTACATGTGGCCAAACTTGAAATCGGATTAGGTAAGAACATGAGGACTGGGGGCTCGGAGCCTTTGGCAAAATCAAACAACGATAAATTGCTGAAACTTGTAACTGATATTATCGTATACGAGTCCAATTTTGCTGTTAGCCTGTTGCTAAAAATGTCCTTGCCGCTATCCTGTCTGTGTTGTGGGGCTTCCTGCTTGTCGCGCGCCTGTTTCCTGGGACTAGATATTAAGTGGCAAATTATCTTATACTTTTTTGTGTGTGTGTGAGTGTGTGTGCGTGTTCTTGTGTGGGATTCGTAATGGCAATGCTTTTAAAAAGGGTTTACGTGTAATTGATACCCGCCCCACCATGTCTCAGAGGCCCTAAAAGTGGCCGTTAAAGCGACTGAAATGGATTTGCATTTGTGCATTTAGACAATTGATTCTGAAAGAGGGGAAACCAGAAATGTAAGCGGCCCACGTCATGCATTATACATGAGCATTCTCTGTATTTATGATTGCTTTTAAGTGTTTGTAAAAAGGAGCTCGAGGTATGGAATAGTTTGTATTCAATACTCTTCAAATATACAGTTCGCATTTTGGTTGGCTTTGCACTGCAGAGACTCAACGTCGAACAGCATGCCCTCCTCACAGACCACGGCATAGGGTATGGGATAGTCGCAGACCACATAGCGATTGCAATCGTTCGGATATGGCAAAATTGTGCCAAGCGGATGACCGCAGCATATGTTTGGCGTATCCGGGTGTATTGTTGTGGGTCCTGAAGTTGTTGTGGATGCTGAAGTTGTGGTCTTCTGCGTTGTCGCAGACGTTGTGCTTGACGGCATCTCGGTTGTGATTGGCGTTGTAGTATCTATTACAGTGCTCGAAGTCTCTGGAGTACTCGGACTAGTAGTATCGATTGCTGTACTGGTAGTCTCTGGAGTACTTGGAGTAGTGGTAGCCACGGTAGTGAGCGGCGTAGTAGTTGGAGTAGCTGGAGAAGTTGGTGCTGCTGTTGCCGTTGTGGGTTCGGGTCTACAGTTGGCCAATTCCGGATCCATACACTGCAGCTCTGTAGGGCTGAATTCCAAGCCTTCGGGACAATCATAGCCAATGGGTATGGGCTCTTGACACACAATATATTTCTCACAATTATTTGGATATGGCACAAGGCTTCCATTTGGCTTATTGCCGCAAATGCCGCCTGAAGGCGCTGGCGTTGTCGTCTGCTCTGTGGTTGTTGACTCTGGAGCTGTGCTGGAGCTGCTGGTGGCTGTTGTGGGTGGCTCAGTAGTTGGGGATATTTCAGAAGCTGTCGAAGATTCTGGAGTTGTCAAAGTTTCGGTTGTTGTGGAAGTACTGGGAGTTGTGGAAGACTCTGTGGTTGTGGAAGGACTGGGAGTTGAGGGAGGTTCGGTAGTTGTTTGTGGCTCGGTTGTTGTAGAAATCTCGGTGGTTGTCAAAGGCTCGGTTGTTGAGGAAGTCTCAGAGGTTGTAGAAGTCTCTGTAGTTGTCGATGATACTGGACTCTCAGTTGATTCGGTTGTCTGATCACTGGCCGTGGTTGATCCGGGCCAGCTGGGTGTTGTGCCAACGCTGCAATTGGCTAGCGAAGCCTCCATGCACTTACGCTGCTCCGGACTAAACTCATCGCCGTCAGCGCAGTCGTAGGCGGCGGCAATGGGACGATCACATTTGATGTACTTGGAGCAGTCGTTGGGATAGGGCACCAGTTCGCCATCGGCTGCTCCGTCACACGGCCCCTTTTGTGGCGGTGGGCGGGTTACGGGGGGCGTAGGCTCTGGCGTTGTCTCCGTTGTTGTTGCTGCTGTTGTTGAAGTGTAGTCCCAGCGACAGGCATCCGATGGCACGTCAGCACCGCATTTGCCGCTTATCGGATCGTAGTATTCGCCACAGTTGCACACATCCATCATGTAGATGTAATCGTTGACACAGCGTATGAACCACTGGCAGTTCTCCGGGTAGGGGAACGTGTCCCGAGTGCTGTTCGTGCACATGGTCGGCTCCAGAGGTGCCTGGGTGTGGCCAGAGCCAGGTGTCGTGGCCATCTCCTTGTCGCAGTCGCTGTCCTCCCAGCTCACACACTGCTGCTGCTGGGCACTGAAGTAGGAGCCGGGCGTGCAGTAGAAGCCAACCGGAATGGGCGACACACAGACAATATACTTGCTACAATCGTTCGGATAGGCAATCATTTCGCCCTCATCCTTATTGCCACATATGCCGCCCGGTGGCTGGGGCGTTGTTGCCACACTAGTGGTTGGTGTCGAAATGGTGCTGACAGCTTCCGTTGTCGTCTTTGTCGTTGTCGTTGTTGTTGTTGTTGTTGCTGCAGTCGTTGTGGTTGTGGTCGCATCCTGCTCCCTGCAAGCTGTCGGCGATACATTCGGCCCACATTCACCAGTTTTTGGATCGAAGTATGTATTCGAGATGCATCTGGCAATATAGAACTCGCCATCGCCCATACATAGAATGTAATATTCACAATTCTGCTCGTACGGATATGAGGTTCCGAGTGGCTCAGTGGCGCACAGCTCGGCTGGCCCAGGTGTGGTGGCAGGCGTCGTTGTCTCGGTGGTTGTGCTGCTCGTTGTCGTTGTGGGCGCTTCAGTGGTGGTGCTGGTGACAGGCGTTGTGGTGCGATCGCCCTCACAGTCCACATCTTCGGCAGAGTCGCAAATCAGCAAAACGGGATTGAAGAGCAGCGTCGGAGCACACTGACCCACAATCACCTGATGGTCTCTGCACTGCAGGTACTTCGAGCAGTCGGCGGCATAGGGAAAGAGGAAGTCATCTGGTCTGTCCTTGCACATATTGGGATTAACATCTGCTGGCAGTGCGGGCGTTGTTGTTGCAATTGTGGTGCTGCTGGCTTCCGTGGGCACTGGCGTTGTGCTTGTCTCTGCACCACTGCTCGAGCTGCTGGTGTCTCCAGTGTTCCCGCCCGTTGTTGTTGTTGTTGACGTTGTCGCCGCCGTTGTCGTTGTCGGATATGGCTTGGGTCTACAGTCCACCGAGTTGGGCGTATCACAGATGTGCCACAGCGGGTTGAAGAGCTTATCGGGTATGCAATAGGCCATGTTGGTGCAACCATTGCGGCAAGTAATGTACGCACTGCAATTGTAGGGATATTCGTAGAAGCCGTTGCCCAAATCGTAGCAGTAATCCTCATCAATGCCAAGAGGCGGTGGGCTACACTCGCCCTCTTCAGTGGTTGAAGTTGGCTCTGTGGCTGTTGTTGTCTCTTCTGTGGTTGTTATTGTTGTCTCTTCTGTGGTTGTTGTTGGTGGTGTTGTTGTTGTCTCTTCTGTTGTGGTTGTTGTGGTCGATGACGGCAACGGCAATGGCTCACAGTGAGCGGTATCTGGCGTATCGCAAATGAGCAGCTCCTGATTGAAGACCTTATTATAATCGCAATAGTTCAGCACTGGCCAGCCGTGCGTACAATTGATATAGGCATTGCAATCGTATGGATATCGATGCACCGAACCATCCTTGAAGTTCTTACAGAATGATTCCGCAACGCCCGGTGGTGGCGGTGGTGGATCATAGTCCGATGTGGGCCAATTCTCCTCAGTGGTGGGACGACTCTCCTGCGTTGTATTTGCCGCCGGAGTTGGAGGAGTTGGACTGTACGCGCCGGTTGTTGTCGGGATGTTGTAGTAGATGCATTTCGTGTTCTGTGGCCAGTCGCAGATCTGCGTCCGGTTATTCCACCACAAATGCGCTGGACACATCTTCACAGTGGGGTATTCACAATCGCAAACTAGGAACAAGCTGCAGTTGTCCGGATAGGGCGCACTGTAGCCGAATTGCACGCCCGCGCACATCACCTGATTCTCGTATCTCTGCTCATTGTCACAAGCCGCTTGCCTCGGCTCGCTGCGCAAGGCCAGAGCCATGGCCAGCAGCAGAAACAGCACTGGCAGCCAATCAAATGTGCTGGCTGGAAAATCAGAGAAAATTATATTATGAATAATGAGAAAAACTCTTAAGTAGAATTATATTAAATTTAATATGAAATTTACCTTTCATTATACGAATTTTCTATAGTAAGAAACCTTTTTCTTAGTTCCTTTCTTTTTCTTCGCCTTTCCTTCTTTCTCGTTTTCTCTTCTATTATGTTCACTGGCTAACGATATTTTCGAGACTAAACTAAACCTTGGCAAATCTATTCACTTTATGAAGTTTCTGTCAGATAAAAGTCGTCATTAATAGAACTGATAAGATAATACCTATATTCAATTATTTAAATTGATAATACGTTAGTGAATATGTGCTAGTAAATATGATTTAAGGCTTATCAATAAATATGTTTGTGAGCAAATAAATATCTCGAATGTCGTAGAACCGGCTGTGTTCTAAGAAAATGTTTGCAAATATCAACGAATAATAGGGAAATCAGATTGATACACTTAGCTCGCATATGTCTAGGAAATTATTGAGTACTTCCTTGTGTTTAGTCATAGACTAAAATAATCACTGGTTAATGGGCTGCGATTGTACTTGAGATTATTAATTGGGAATTATTATGATGTTGCATGAATTTGAGTCAGTTTTAAAGCAGATTGTCAAAGTCTTTATAGAAAATATACAACTTGTTATTATTTCACGTAAAGGTAAACAATTTTTATTCCCATTGCGCATTGTTGACATGTGTATAAACGTGTACGTGTGTGTGTGTGTGTTTTGTGCTTATTGCTCTTGTTATTACACTTATTGCTGTTGTTGTTTTAATGAGACAACGTGACCTCTCAGCAGCTGAATTTATGAGCGCCACTCGACGCTTGAATTACACAAATAAAAAATGCGAGCATAAACATAAATGAAGCCGAGGACTTCAACGCGCCAGCCATTAAAATAAAGCGACAAAACATGAGCAGTAAACAAAATTGGCAGCACAACTCTGGCTAACCAACTTATTTTCCAGCAGAAAAGTTCTGGAAAAGTGCAATAGCATTTGTACTGCAAATAAGTTAAAAGCATAAATCTATGCACGGTTTTAGTTGAGTTTTTATTTTATATTTATTGTGAAAAGCGAAGTGCAACACGTTTGAGCACGTGCTGAAACTCTATAGAAATTGAATGGAAGTTTGAATAAAATTGTAAATATAGATGTAGTATAAATTGAATTGGAACGGTTGAATAAAGCTTTTTGGCAAAGTATATTAACAGATGGCCTTAACAAAAATGACGCCAGGCAACCAAATGGCTTTAACTGAAAATTCATAAATACTCGTCTGCTTAAATGGCTAAAGCCAATTGCCGCTGGAAGGCAATTTTTCAGCTTGATCTGTTGGCTGCTGTCAAGCGTTTGATCTGCAACAGATTGAACTATCAATTACGGCCTGGGCAAACGTGACCGTCTAACAGCTGCCCGTCTGATGTGTGTGCGAAAGCTGGCAAAGATGAGACAGACACACACACACACACACACACACATACACATGGTGTAGCTGGAACGGACGTTTAGTTACAACTGAGCACCTGTCGTGCGGCATCAAAAGAAAAGCAGCCAACGCGCAAAGGAGTACGTGTCCCACATGCAGCCAAGCAGCAGAAGTTGTCAATGTTGTTGCTGCTGTTGTTGCTGTTGTTGCTGTTGTGTGTGTGTGTGCTGCATGAAATTGACCTCGTCCGTGTGCGTGTGTCGCTGGAGAGAATCGCCTAGCTCCGAGCTGGGCGTACATATCTTTCACACGGCTTACGTGCACGGTGGCTGCACAGGGGCAACCTTCACGTTTTATCCCTGAGAGGGGCGCAGCATTTGGGGGCATCTAAGACAAAGCGCCACAAATCAAGCTGGGTACGCAGCGCGCATAAAGAAATTACCCCCCAACAAGCGAAAAGTCCAGCACAGAAATTTAAGCTAAGGCCAAAGCAAAGCAAAATTCAACATAGATTTTTTGACTTGTCGACCAAAGGCAAAATTGACTGCATTATGTACAGCCCGTGCACACATACACACACACACACACATGCATTGCATACTCTTTTTATCCTTGGTGCATTTTCATGGCTTTGCTATTTCTGTTAATTAAAATCGAATGAATCTTTGTTTACGCTCGTCTGCTCTCTAACTGCCTCTATCTGGAATTTGAGTATTTGGTAACCTGCTTTGCTAACCTTCCCTCCCTCTAGCTCGCTCTTGTTCTCATCCTCTCATGCTCTGATGGCTTCCCTGAGCTGGCATGATCTGTGTAACATATTTGAGTTTATCTATGTATGTCAATTATATGCTTGATTAATAAGGGCTTGGCCGACTTTCACATGTCATACTGAACAGTTCTCTGCTTAAATTAACTTTCTCTGAAAGTGTATTTAAAATTCGTACTGCGTTTAGTTTTCTTTGCTAAATCAATCGAATTTTCACATTCAATTTATTTTTGGCATTGAATTCCGTTTAGTCTGCTTTTAAAATTTGATTTTTTGCTAAGCTATATTTTATGGCAAAATATTTGTTGTTGAATACCAAAGTAAATATTTGCGCACAGCTGTCAAAAAATAAAAAATAAAATAAAAAATAAATAAAATAAAATAAAAATAAACAAAAAGAACTAAATCATAATAATTGAGAAATATTTTTATTTCAGCTATATATAAAAAAACCCATTATTTATTGAAGCATGCTAAAATGCATTAAATTTATATTTATTATCTATATAAACACAACTTTTACTTTTTCTATGCCAGAGGCAATCAGATGCTGTGCCAAGGCCTTTAGCTTATGCCTTGTCTAATCACAAACCTCATTCAAGTCTTTTTACTCTTATAAAACACTTTTCGAAACTCTCAGCTAAACTCTTCAGAAACTTGTTCAACTCCTGCGATTTCTGCGCCTGCGCAAACTCATTTTCTCTCTGAGTTTTTTCACTCTCGTTTTTGTGGCCGACTTCAAGCATTGGCTCGCAGAAAGTTACGAAGTTTGTTCAGAATTCGAACACGAAAGTAAACAACGAAAGTTGTTTGTAACAGAATAGCAGCTCAGTTGCTCTTCAGCTGATGCCGAAGGCAAAAGTCAACGGACTGGAGCTCTGCGAGTTTGTCCAGCCGAAAGGCAACTCCTGGCTGCATTTGGGCGTAATCGCAATTGTTGTGCTGCACTTAGCTGCCATTAATATAATCGGGCAATAAAACACAGCTATCAACACATGCTATCTATTTGTCTGTTGGCTGTTTGTCCGCTGTGCTGACCCAGTAATAAAATAAATGCACGGGCCGGGGGGAGGCTCGACAGCCTTTGCATATATTTATTTATATAGGTGCGAAAATCAACGTTGCACACCAACAAAAAGTGCTGCATTTCGTGTGGAAAGGTAATTAAAAATGCCTTTGAACGAGTACAAATTAATTGCCAAAGGAAACCGTTGCCCCTGCCCCACCTGCCCAAAAGCGAAGCTATTTTTTAATGGAGCCAAGTGTGTGGCCAACATACGGCGAACAGTGAAAGTAGAAGGCAAACAAAAGCTGCATTTGCCAGCCGGGTCATAAGGGTGGGAAAGGGGCAGGGGGAGCTGTGAGCGGGCAGGCAAGCCACAACCACAGATTAGCCATGGAGCACATACGCTGCAGGAGGAGCGAGGCGGACAGGCAGGCGGGCGGGCAGGTCCTTGCAAACAAGCGAATGCAGTGATTTATGCCGGACTGACAGACCCCCAGCGGCAGCAGTTATGCACTTGAGGCATTTGTTGCATGCAACAGAGCACGCAGCACCCAGCTGGTGCTGGGTGGAGCTGCAGCTGCAGCTGTTGGTGCTGGCAGCACCTCGTGTCGCCTGTGCATTCCTGGCCCGATGCTGTTGATTGCCCGGCTCTGTTCCGTTTGGCCAGTCCAAACAATATGAGAGATTCCTGTCCTTCATTATATTAAATTGAGGCGAGTGCGAAAACTGAAAAGCATCGTAACTAGCAGCTGGAAAGCCCAGGAAAAGAGTACAAAAAAATTCTTGACAAAATTGCAAAATGTCAGCGTGTCGAGACTTGCTTGATGAAAAGATGCTGGCCGAAAAAAAGAAACTGAAAAGAGAAACGACAGGCAAATGGAGCATTTGGAGAGTGGCACACGGCAATGCGCTGTGGGAAATGTGTGAAATTTTTCAGCTGCAACAGAAAATGAAAATAATAAAAAAAACAGAAGCAACAACACAAACAGTGAAAACAAAAAAACTGTTGAGCAACTTTTTGGCAGACTTCGCTCGTCGACGTTTGCGTTGCTTAAAAATTTAAATTTTCATTTTCCGCCGCAAATTGGGAAAACCTCTTGGAAAAAAAAAACAGCAGCAGCAGAAGCAGCTGCCGCCTGGGCTAAAGTTGCTAGCAAAGTTTTTCTCTCTTAACCACAATGCGCTTTGTTGTTGTTGCTGTTGTTTTTGTTGCTACTCCAGTTGCAGTTGCCGTTGCCATTGTCATTGCCATTGTTGTTGTTGTTGTTGTTGTTTTTCGCTTTTCAGTTTCAAGTGCGAATTGCATTCTGCTTTTGTCGCATTTGCGGTTTTGTTGAGGCAACTAAATTTCCTACCAGACATGCACAGACACCTGCGCGAAGCACGACGTCGACAGCTGCAGCGGCGAGACTATGGGGCCCACAGACATTTCGAGACTATAATTTTCTATCATCTTGAATTTTTGAAATTTTTATAGAAATTCTCAAACTATTCTCTTGTCAAACTCAAGTCTTTTGGCTTATTATTTGCAATTTGCTAAATTTCATTTCCACTCTTCCACAAAATTAGAGTTTCTAGAGCAACGCTTACCCATAGTAGCTGCAACTAATCCACACTGTGCGTGTCTGTCGGTGTGTGTGTGTGTGTGTGTGTGCGTGTCTGTCTGTGTGTGTGTGTGTGTGTGGCTGTGTGCTCTGTAGGCAGCTTGTTTTCAAGTGCACTTCATGCTGTGCCCCCGCTGCGCAGCGCCACCGTGAGCGAATTTTTCGGTTTGAATTTATGAGGGGGAAACGAAATGAAGTGCACTTGGCTGCGACTACCATGCTCCTCCTTAGTTGCTCTCCCTGGCGACGGCCTCTGCACTTCACATTCCACTTGACTCACTCAA